CTTTATTTCACCGTGCCCAACCTATGCTTCAGATGGCCAAAAACAGATGTACTCACATGTGGTTTTAATCTATTCCATGCTGCTCTATTTCTAAATAATAACTACCATTTCACAGGCTAGAAAAACCCACAAATTCAGTAAGATAAAATAAGCCCAAAATAAGCATCTGGGCATTTATGATAGTAAAATATTTTTCTATCCAGGGAAAAAATTCTTGATAAGCCCAGTAATACTGCGGCAATGCGCAAGCTGCCGTGCAGGTGATCAGAATTCAGAATCAGCCTGTAGCTCAGGCTCTGGGCTTATGAGACTGGGTGTGCAGCAAAGAAAACGACATCAGTCTCTGGGGACAAGCGTCTGTGGACTGTCGCTGGCGGTGGTTATGGAGAAGGCAAGGCACAATTTCCAGGATAAAAATAACACAGAGACCTGCCAGCTGACCAGAGAAAGGACTCAGCGATAAGAGAGAGGGCAGACCCCGTTCCTCCCCAGGGAGCGAAGCCCCTGTGAGAAGATGACAGTGGCTTTAAAATTCTTAGAAAATTAGTTAAAGAATAAGTTATTTTTTAAAAGAAATGGATATAAATTATGAAATGAAGACAAAGTCCTCCTGAACATTTGTTGGGGAAAAAAAAGATAAAAGTTTTCCAGGAAGCCAGCTGGAATCAACAACACATTCAAAAACAAAATCAAAAACAATATTGGAAGTTCTCTAGGCAAATCAAGTATCTTATCTGTGGATGACTAAAATAAAAAAATTAAACACCATATGAAGAGAGATTTTTTTTTCCAAAATGGAAAACATAAATTCAATTTTCTGGCTTTTTGCTCATGTAAATTAATTAAGCTGCAACAAGAAATTCAACTTTTAGTTTTGTAGCCATTTTAGGTTTCATTATTTAAATACAAACACAAACCACATATCTATGAGCACTGCCATAAAAGCTAAAAATAAATGGGATTATCCATGACATGCTTTGTAAAATTATTAATATAAAATGAACTCAAATATAAAATCTGCCTTCATGTTTTAAAAAATTCCTCAATGATCCTTCTAATTCAATTTCTACATTTTTTATTCTGAGAGATATATTGCTGTCTACTAGTCTCATAGAATGAATGCCAATTTCTATTTCTGTTCCAGTGGAAGCAGAGCACTGGGAGAGGTATTTTATTTATTTACTTTCAAAATGGATTGGCAGATTTTAGATACCTATTCTAAAAAGACAGTGTTATTTTGTTAAGGTATTCAAATTTTCTTATTACCTTTAAACCAAATCTCACAAGAGAATCACTGTTAAGAATAAGCATGATATTCCTTAAACTATCTAACCTAGAACAGAGTTTGATAAGAATAAACTATTTCCCTGAACAACACTACATTCTGGTAGTAACAGACTACAATGATATCAAGTTCATGATCTTGGTTTTAAAAATTATAAACTAGCTTTGTAAGACTGCCCTTACTTATGAATTCTTTACTGCTCTTTGAAGGAAAAAAACACACTTAATACCTAAACTTAAACTGAAGCTGGTTTTCTCATTTGATGTACATGAAAAAAGACTTAATAGATATTTAGTAACATGCCATGCCATATTGTTTCTTGAGTGTCTTCTATAACTAGGCGCGTGCTGGATTTTACAGATACATCATATCATTTAACCTCATGAGCACCACTGAATGTAGTGGCAGAGTGGTGGTTTAAATCCAGACCTGATGCCAAAACCCCTGGTTTTTCCACCTGCCATGCTGCTTCTTATAAATCACAATTTCACAAAATCTTAAGGTTCCCAGACTAGATAAAACACACATAATTTTTTCTATCATTTAACTTTTGATTCTTCCTCCCTATAGAATCAGCTAAAAAGAATTAAGGGAAAATTGATTGAGAATATGTTTAGAAAAGGAATACAGAATAAAAGTGAACTTTATATAATAATCCATTTAGCAAACTAGAAGATGGACATAAAACTGAGATATCCTGGCTAAAACTGATAGACCAAGGAAATTCTACAGTTAATCCTATAATAATGTGTGCAAATTCTTCGTATTTATTTCAGTACCAGTTAGAGGTTTGCTTCTTAGAAAAGTCATATAACAAATTATATCTACTGTTGTTTGTAGCCTGTGTTTTCTCTGATAAAAACCATAGGCACTTACCATGAAAAATGATTTGACTACCTATGATTCCTAGGATCCAGTATGTAGGAGGCTTTAAAAAAATGGCTAAAAAAAATTAAATACATTAGGAATAAAAGAGCCTAGCACAGAAGTGTGTGCCTGTAATCTCAGCAACTCAGAGGCTGAGGCAGAAGGATGGTAGTGCAAGGCCAGCCTTAGCAACTTAGAGAGACCCTGTCTCAAAATAAAAAAGATTAAAAAGACTAGAGATGTAGATCAAGGGTAGTGCAACCCTGGGTGCAATACCCAGTAACAAATAAATAAATGAATGTCCTTCAGCTACTTTTTTTGTACTTAACTTTTAATTCCGAAGTAATTATAGATTCTCACCAAGTTACAAAAAAAGTACTACAGAGAGATTCTCACGTGCCCTTTATCTGGTGTCCCCAAATGGTAACATCTCACATCACCATGGTACAAAACCAGGACATTGACATCATATAACCCCAGACCTCACCCAGATTCCTCCTAGAGTTTACTCTTCTAAGTGCAGTTTTCCTGGTGCTAGAAATGGCCTCAGACCCTCTTCACCTTTCATGATGAGAATACGAGCGTGGAGAGGAGGAAGGACTGCCCAAGTCAGAGTGCTGGAAAGCAGCGAACAAAACGAAGTTTGAAAAGGCATCTTTCTTAAGAGATAGAGCATGCATCTGGATCAGAATCATTTTCCAGAATCCCAGGAGGCATTCAGTAAGAACCTTCAAAATATTATTAAAGACCCTTGAAACAGTTCTAATATTTCAAAGTTATCTCGTGAAATGGATGCATATTTTTGTACACATTATTTTTCATCTCTCCAGAAGCCCCAAAGCATTCCTTTTTTTTTTTTAAAAAAAAGGACCCCTACTGGTCTTTTTAAAATATTTAAACATATTACTGCAGCAGTAATATGATAAACCAAACTCAAAGGGAAACTAACTGGCTTGTCACCACTTGCCACCTTTGCCACCTTTGTCCTTAGTACAAACCTCCACATCTGGCACAAAGCAGGCTCTTAAAGGCCACATGAATGAATGAATGAATGAATGAATGAATGAATGAATGAATGAACGAACGAATGAACGAACGAACTAACTAACAAATAAGTGGGGTTACCAATATACTAAACACTCCAAATTTCTTTGGGAGGAAAAAAAATAACTTGCAGCTGGGGTGCAGTGGCACATGCCTGTAATCCTAGTGACCTGGGAGGCTGAGATAGGGGGATTGCAAGTTCAAGGCCAGCCTGGGCAACCTAGCCAGACCTGTGTCAAAATAAGATAATAAAAGGGCTGGAGGGATAGCTTGGTGGTAGAGTGCCCCAGAGCTCCAACCCCAGTACTACCAAAAACAAACAAAAAATCTTGGTTCTCACTTTTTAGTAAACTGCGATTTTTGTGAAAAATGTTTTATTTTATTTTGTGGAGTAGTTTTCACAGAATCAGAAGAAGGGCCTTTATAGAACATGTAGTCTGGTAAATCCCAACAAAGGTGCATGCTGCATCTGACAATAAAAAGAACCCACCACGTCCTATCCCACATTTCGGGTGGGGCTGGCATCTGCTTTTTATTGCTGAAACTCCCAGGTGATAAAAGGACCTATAGCATAAAGGTGAAGAAATAGGTCTGGTCAAGCTGAATGTTTTTTCTGGTCAGTACCAGAATTGAGACCAGAAGCCAAGCAGGAATACTGCTACTTTTTAAACATAATACGTAAAAAAAATAATAATAATAATAATTATGAAACTTATTTTAATTGTAAAAACTATTGGCCATCTTTTAAAAATTTACAACTAGGAAGAATTAAAAAAAAAAAAAAACACCTATCAAGACTTGACTCTTGCTGGTTTACAGTCACTAGCATAAGTGGGTAGACATATACAGTTAGGGCCCTGAGAAGATTTTCGCCTGATACATTAAAAATAAATAAGAGTACAGTTCATGCTTTGAGCTAACTGCCCACTTCTACCAATTTGTCCTCTTGCAGGACTTAATTTGGTTTCACAATGGGTCTATTATAGATGCTCATCAAATATGTTTGATTTTTTAACAAAAAGTTCATGTATAAAATTGAGAGCACTTACTTGATACAAAATATGATTTTATAATATTGGCTATATGCTCATCAGATTAAATAGATAATATACGTTCTGACTATCTGCTAAAATAGAATAGTATATTTCTCAACTTACCTTTTTTTATTTTTTTATTGGTTGTTCACAACATTACAAAGCTCTTGACATATCATATTTCATACATTCGATTCAAGTGGGTTATGAACTCCCAATTTTTACCCCAAATGCAGATTGCAGAATCACGTYGGTTAYACATCCACAATTTTACATAATGCCCTATTAGTAACTGTTGTATTCTGCTACCTTTCCTATCCTCTACTATCCCCCCTCCCCTCCCCTCCCATCTTCTCTCTCTACCCCATCTACTGTAATTCATTTCTCTCCTTGTTTATTTTCCCATTCCCCTCACAACCTCTTATATGTAATTTTGTATAGCAATGAGGGTCTCCCTTCATTTCCATGCAATTTCCCTTTTCTCTCCCTTTCCCTCCCATCTCATGTCTCTGTTTAATGTTAATCTTTTCTTCCTGTTCTTCCTCCCTGCTCTGTTCTTAGTTGTCTCATTATATCAAAGAAGACATTTGGTATTTGTTTTTTAGGGATTGGCTAGCTTCACTAAGCATAATCTGCTCTAGTGCCATCCATTTCCCTGCAAATTCCATGATTTTGTCATTTTTTAGTGCTGGGTAATACTCCATGGTGTATGAATGCCACATTTTTTTAATCCATTCATCTATTGAAGGGCATCTGCCAACTCAACTTACCTTTAATGGAATCATTCTCAGCTCTCATTATGTCAATGAGTGAACTCTCCAGGGAGTGCATATCGAATGTCCTGGGGCGGTCCTGTAAGTCCAAACACCACAAACCACTTTTTAAAACAGCATTTACATGTAAAAGAGRAAAACAAGTTGCACTTCATGGGACAGAGATCAAAAAACAGCAAAAGTACTCCCTTTCCATATCAGGTACGTTATTACTTCATGTTATTACTTATCCTTTCAAAACATCAAAAACCACAAAGTACATAGAGCTCAGTAGAAAGTAATTTTGTTTTTAACAATGTATTCCAACAAAGCACCATTTTTATTAATAAAGCATAAACCATTAAAACTAATCTCCATATCAGTTAAGAACATTAAATAAAATATAAATAAATCTATATTTTCCACCACTTGAGACTGTAAAATGTGGCAAAGCTTTCTAACTTGTTTCAAGACTTACTTCTAAACTGGCATCTCTGAGTGCTCTCAGAATAGATATATTTTCTTATAAGCCAAGGTTTGCTAATAGTCATCAAATATCTGTTAGATAATATTCAAAAAAAATATTACTGGTTAATCATGAAAAAGACATTATACCCTCAATGAAAGAAAAGAAAAATACTTGATTTATCTCTTTCTATGTTACCAAGGCTGTCCTTGAATTCTAATGATTTACATTCTCTAAAGATTTTTTTAAACTAACAACTCATTCAGAATATAGACAATATCCCCAAATACACACACACACACACACACACACACACACACACACACACAAAATACGTTTTAAAAAAGGATATAATCACCCCTCCCCCAATATAAACTCAATCTGGAATGATGGGTCACAGGGACAGCTCTCATTACGTTCACAAAGCTTCCTCCAAAGAGGAAACCATGAGGAGCTGTGGAAGCAGGTTCCATCTCTCCCTGCCCCCTAGGCACAAGGTAGGAGGACCCCAAAAAATCCAGCCCTTACCCTGATAAGTAAAGAATAAAAGACACAGATCAGAGTCAGCATCTGGATGAGAAAACCAAAGGCCATCCCAATCTTATTTACCATGTCAACTTGGAAGAAAGGTGTAGGGTACGTTGTTCTCTGAAACCCTGGCTCAACCAGGTACATTTTAAGAATGGGTGGGGACTCCTAAATATATAGCAAATATCCTACTGCTCTGGGAGTCCTCAGGATGAAAACAACTACAGATAACTCAAATTAAAATCTGGCTTGGTAAGTTAAATGCAGGAGAGGAAACCTTTTCATATTAAACTCTGAGAGGAAACAGCGATCCATGCTTCTGACCCACTCCCTACACACAGAATATTAATGGCGCTTCCAAAGCAGACAGACAGGCAGGTTCCATAAAACTCTCTCTTCACTTCTGCTTTCTCTTCCATTACTTTTCTTGCTTATTTCTTTTCTTTCTTTATTTTTGGCGCTAGGGAGTGAACCCAGGGACTTGGGTATTCTAAGCACACTCTAGTACTGAGCTACAGTCCCAATATTATTTTTTCTTTTTCTTTCTTTTTCTTTCTTTCTTTCTTTTTTTTCTTTTTTGTTACTGGAGATTGAACTCAAGGTCACTTTACCACTGAGCTATATCATCAGCCCTTTTAATTTTTTTATTCTGAGACCAAGTCTGGCCTCAAACTTGCAATCCTCCTGCCACAGCCTCCCAGCCCAATATTACTTTATAACTCAAAACTTTAGCTTCTTAAAAAATTCACCTCCAGGGCTGTGGCTGTAGCTCAGTGGTAAAGCACTTGCCTAGCATAAGTGAGGCCCTGGGTTCGATCCTCAGCACCACATAAAAATAAATAAAGATACTGTGTGTCCATCTACAACTAAAAAAATATTAAAAAACAAAAATCACCTCATAAGTTTATTGTTTGTTTGCTTAATTGTTGGGATCTCCCTTTTCTATTTTCCAAGCTAACTTCTAGAACCTCTAACTGATAGCTACTATCCTTCACAGGAGAGCATTTTTGATCAAGCTGACATTTCTCCCTTGTGCAGCTCTAATACCACGCCCTGTACGATTATCATGCTTCCCTGAAGCAGGGCCACTCCTCACCCTGCCCCACCATGTAGACAGACACTCACTCAGCAGTGTTTACCAGATGGACTGCTCTGTAATGCAAACTGTTCATCCCTGTGATTTGAGGCATCTGAACACAATTCTATTCAGATATAAACAATATTAGATGAGAATGATACAGGTTCCTCTGTGGGGGAGAGACCGGGGTCTTAACACAGGGCTCTGCTCTGAGAGTGGTGGCCACAGCCCAGATCTCCTGCCCACTTCTCCTCTTTTCTCACCAGCTTCTCCTCAGCAAGATTCACAGAGCAGCAGGAGGATGTGGCCAGAATCAGAACTTCTGAAGGTCAGTATTCCTAAGAGTATTCGTACTGCATGTCAAGCACTAAATCACTGTATGTTCTCTGAGCAGAGAAGTGCATAAGAAGGTCACGAATCTCCACCAGCCGTCCGGCCGTAGCTGGACTGGCCCTCCTCACGGCAGTCTAGAACCAGGTCATAACTGGGCCTTCCCTACAACCCATCTCCCCCACACGCCCATACTGAAGGCCAGACTTCTGGGTTACTGTTCACCTGACTGTCCTCTGACTGTGAGGTTCCCAAAGGCAGCAGCTGCATCCTACTTCAAATGTACCCAGGGAGTCCGCCTCAAATGGGCGCCTATATGCCAAGACAGTCATCCCATCAGTCCCTGGTACTGGCAGGGGTCTGAGGTGAGGAGCTCCCTGGAGAACAACTTTTGTCTATGTGTGCCATGGCACAAAACAGGTGAAGAAGCGCTGTCCCACATTCTGTACCACCATGTCCCAAGCACATTCTATTAGTGCACAAATGTTGCAACATCAAGGAATGGATGAATTCCTTCAAGTCATTTTTAATGTTTAAATATTTCTTCTTTCCTACTTCCTTATCTTAAGGTTTGTTTGTAGATTTCCCCTTTCCCACTATAGAGCTGTATGTTTTCTTTTGCCAAAATAAATAATGGAGTAGGAGGAAGAGCTCGGCCTATTATTCTTTTTCAGGCAAATAAAGCAGTAAGCKACCTTGTGAATTTCCGGAACTTGCATTCTGACAATCACTGATGAAGAACGCCAAAGAGAAGCAGTTGAAAAAGAATAGAACACAGAGAGGTTTTTGCTTAGTTTCTTTCATAAGAGCTCTTCTCATTAAGTCAAGAAGCCCTGTGAGTTTCTACATGGAGTACTAGAACTTAGCAAATAATTTCACAGCATCCTCTGCCCCAAGTACACTGCCTGGAACATAAATTTTTGCTAAACTTAATAACTGATCATTTCTAAATGGTAGAGTACATTAGAGCTAAAATTCTAATGAAAAGTTTAAATTTCAGTAGTACTTTGTGTGATTGAAAAAAACAAATCCTTTACCCCTTTTCCTTTAAATTTTATGATTTAGTTGAGGGGTGACAAGTAAATAACATTATACAAACTCTGATCAATTGCAATGCATCAAGAAGGATTCTCAGACTCTATGTGAACTTGGAAGGACACTGCGCCTCAACAGATTGCTGGTGATTATATTAAACGCAAAGTATAAAGCCCAGTGGAACAAGCACCACATTCTTGCCAATCCTAGTCTAATATGTATTCTTCTCCACAACCCAACCATATTAGGAATTATACTTATTATAAACTACATTTGAATAGTAATAGCATTACTTTTTTCTTTTTTTTTTTTTTTTTTTTGGCAATACCAGGAATAAAACCTAAGGCCTCCAATGTTAAGCAAGCATTCTACCACTGACACTGAGCTACCTCCCAAGCCCCTTTTAAAAAATGTTTATTTTGAGACAGGGTCTCACTAAGTTGCTACAACTTCAACTTGGGATCCAACTTGAAATCCTCCTGCCTCAGCCTCCCAAGTAGCCCGGATTACAGGCCAGCACCACCATACCCAACGAAATTTTACTTCATATGATGCTTTGGTAATTTAAAGTTCAAAAACCACACACTATTTCAAGTAAATATTTTGCTCTCAGAGAGGGTCCAAAGTTTATCATTCTTATGCTACTCGGCTGATTTTCTTCAATTTTTAAATACAATAATTTTAAAAACTTAAACTGGAAGTGTCTGTGCCATTAGGAAGCTGGCAGAGGAAGAGAAACACACAGAAACCCAACATATAAGCACAGCAAAACAATGCCAGCTTTCCTGCCCAACAGCCAGGTTCAATCAAGGGAGTAAGAGTGCTTTCAGTTCCTAACTCCATCCTCAATTTTGCCCCTTCTGATTACTAACTCAACCAAACATAATTACTGACCTATTTTCTAGGACCCATTTCCCAGAAAGTAAACTGTCAAAAAAAAAAAAAAAGATTCCTTAAGTGACAGCTCTTCTTCACTGAACTTGAGCTGATGACCAAAATATGAAGATCAGCATAAATCCATGTAATGAGTATCGGACACAGGAAAGCTCAGCACTGCCGGGGCATGTCCATCCTCCAGAGCTCCTTCCTGGCCCATGAAAGGAAATGGTTTGATTAGCTCTCTAATTTCTCCTTCCCAGCTCCAATGTCTTTTTGGTTTTGGTTTTTGGTTTTGTTTCAGTTTGGGCAGTGCTGGGATGGAACCCAGGGCTCTATGGAGGCTGCACAAGTGCTCCACCGTGGAGCCACACCCCTGCCCGCCTTTGTATTTTAGTTTTCCAAAATGGACTCTTCCAAAATGTACATTTTATAAATTGTAATKAAAATATGGCAGGAACCAGAAATCTGGATAAAACGACGAATTCAAGTTCACCACATTTTGTCCATGAAAAAGCAAAGGGCCAAAGGTAGGTCAGTAAGAAAATAAACCTCTAGAGTTTTGTTTCCTTAGTTTTGGGGATCAAACCCAGGAATTCGCAGGTGTTCAGTACATGTTCTAACCACTGAGGTATACTCCCAGACCCCCTTAGAGTCTTAACAGTCAATTCACTTTCATTACACTATACACAATGCAAAATAACAAGTTTCTTTAAAAAGAAATTACTGAAACAATTTGTTGGGAGAAAAGGAAGTAAAGCGTCCTGATTTCAGATAAAGATTAAAG